CCGGGAGGAGGCCAGCAGTGGTTCAGGCTCAAGGAGTCTGACCACAGGGTCTGTGCCCTTCGTGGCTCATCTAACAGTCCTTCCAGAAAGGACCACGCTACGTGCAACACGGAGCCCTGAGCTGGCCCTGCGTGGTGGGGAGTGCTGGCCCGGCTCTCGACATGGAGGGCCAGCTTCAGACAGTTGAAGGGCTAGCCTCCCAGTCTCGGATTTTGCTCCGAGATCCCAGGTCGCTCTGGAGGGTGGCAGGCCTGGGGTTTCAGGCAGGCGGGGGCTGGTTGGGAGGGCCAGACAGTGACCCCGGCTCCCTGCAGGTTCAAGGGCATCAAGAAGGGAGGCGTGACAGAGAACACGTCCTACTACATCTTCACCCAGTGCCCCGATGGGGCCTTCGAGGCCTTCCCCGTGCACAACTGGTACAACTTCACGCCGCTGGCCCGGCACCGCACGCTCACCGCCGAGGAGGCCGAGGAGGAGTGGGAGAGGTGAGTAGGGCGGGGCCGGGAGGGAGGCGGGATGCCCATGTTGTCACCTCTGATTCCCCAGCGGGGAACCAAAGCGATTGGATGTGGGGTGTGTCACCATAGCTTTGTGCCCAGCTGGGAGCTGGGGACTCTGGGGATCAAGTCAGACCCCCACCAGACCCTCAGGGAGCTCCCAGTGCAGTGGGGAGACAGACGTGAAACCCTTGGGGACACACAGGGCAGTGCGAGTGCCAGGGAGGTGGTGGCTGAGCTGAGCCCTGAGCAGGAATTGGCAGAGCAGGGGGCTGTCTCCCCGGCCGGCTGGGCTTCCCCCAGGCAGGCGGTCCCGTGGCTGGATCCACTGCAGGTAAAATACGTATAACCTAAAATTTACCTGTTTAACAATTTTTAAGGGTACAACTCAGCAGCGTGAAGCACATCCACATGCTTGTGCCATCATCCCCTCCATCCGTCTCCAGAACTTTCCATCTCCCCAAACTGAAGCTCTGTCTCCATGAAACACTGACTCCCACCCCTCCCCCAGCCCCTGGCCCCCCATCCACTTTCTGTCTCTGTGGCTGTGGCTCCTCTGGGGACCTCCTGTGAGTGGACCACACAGTGTGTGTCCTTCTGTGTCTGGCTCACGTCACTGAGCATCACGTCCTCCAGGTCCCTCCACATAGCAAATATTAGTGCTTCATTTCTTTTTTAAAAAAAAAAAAAATTAGGGGCCAGCCTGGTGGCACAGCGGTTAAGTGAGCACATTCTGCTTCGGTGGCCCAGGGTTTGCCGGTTTGGATCCCGGGTGTGGGCATGGCACTGCGTGGCACACTATTCTGTGGCAGGCATCCCACATATAAAGTAGAGGAAGATGGGCACGGATCTTCCTCAGCAAAAAGAGGAGGATTGGCAGCAGATGTTAGCTCAGGGCTGATCTTCCTCAGAAAAAAAAACATTAAAACATTTTACAATTGTAATAAAAACCAAAAGTTATCATCCTAACCATTTTTAATCATACCATTTGGTAGTGTTTTTTATTAATTTTTTTTTTTTGAGGACGGTTAGTCCTGAGCTAACATCTGTCCCCATCCTCCTCTACGTTATATGTGGGACACCTGCCACAGAGTGGTTAGATAAGCGGTGTGTAGGTCTGCACCCGGGATCCAAACCGGTGAACCCTGGGCTGCCGAAGCAGAGCACGTGAATTTAACCGCTGTGCCACCAGGCCGGCGCCAGTAGCGTTAGGTACATTCACATCCTTGTACAACAGAGCTTCCTTCTTTTTACGTTACCCATGAATTTTGCTCATGCTTTTAGATACAGTCCTAAGACTCTCATTTAGTATGGTCTCATTTTTAAAAAACTTTCATCACTATGGTCCGTGGAAACACCAGTATCCCTTGTTGTGAAAAAGAAGGCCCCCATCAACTCCAGTAAAAACAGACGGCCGTGAATACGTTGTGCAGACTCTGTTGCCTGACAAAGGCCCTGAGCCCGAGAGGGGCTGGGACGCCAACACCACACCACACCTCCTCCTCGAGGGACGCGGGGCAGAGAGGGCACTGGAGAAGGGCCGGCCCCTGGAGGAGGCCCGTTGTCAGCCCGCGCGCCCCTGCCCCCGCCCACAGGAGGAACAAGGTCCTAAACCACTTCAGCATCATGCAGCAGCGGCGGCTCAAGGACCAGGATCAGGACGAGGAGGGCGAGCAGAAGGAGAGGCGTGGCCATAAGAAGGCCAGCGAGCTGCGCATCCACGACCTGGAGGACGACCTGGAGATGTCATCCGACGACAGCGAGGCCAGCGGCGAGGAGGGTGAGGCCAGTGGAGCCCCCAGGCGGCTGGCGTGGGCGGCGCAGCCCCCAGATCTGTGCCACGTAGCAGTTTACCACAGCGGCTGAGTGAGGACACGGGGAGGTGAATGCCACGGAAGGAAAAGTGGGGTCACTCACAGTGCCCCTGGAAACGGGAGTGGGCACAGCGCGCCACACAGGGGGGTTGGAGGCAGCTAGGAGCGACAGGAAGGCCTTGCCCACAGCCTCTGTGGGGGTTTCCGTGGAAAGGCAAAGCAGGGCAGGGTGAGCCCTTTGAATAATTCCAGCGGGCTCTGGGCGACAAGGCTGGTCCCCAGTTGTCCGGTCTGGCCCTGGGGTGACCCGGGGCAGGGATAGTGGCCCTGGGAGTGAGGGTTAGAGAAAGGGAGTGGCCGGGGGTGTAGAGTTGGCAGGGGTTGTTGGTTTCCGCCTGAGAGCTGTGCCTCTTGGCGAGCCCTTTGCGTGCTTCACGAATTGGCTGGTCCTGGGCATCTCCCCATCGGCAAGGCCCCCGAGATGTGCAGACGTCATCGAATATACCAAGCATGTGAGCGCCCAGCCCAGCCCCGCTCCACTTCCCCAGGTGGCAGAGCCCCCAAGGCCAAGAAGAAGGCGCCGCCCGGCAAGGCAGGCAGGAAAAAGAAGAAGAAGAAGGGGTCGGATGACGAGGCCTTCGAGGACAGCGATGACGGTGACTTCGAGGGCCAGGAGGTGGACTACATGTCCGACGGCTCCAGGTGAGGCAGGCGGGAGGCGGGTGTGGGACCCTGGGCCGGCCTGGCGGACGCGCCCACTCACCCTCTGCCCGCTCTCTGTCTTACAGCAGCTCCCAGGACGAGCTGGAGGGCAAGCCCAAGGTCCCCCAGCAGGAGGAGGGCCCCAAGGGCGTCGACGAGCAGAGTGAGAGCAGCGAGGAGAGCGAGGAGGAGAAGCCGCCCGAGGAGGACAAGGAAGAGGAGGAGGAGAAGAAGGCACCCACGCCTCAGGAGAAGAAGCGGAGGAAAGGTGGGCTCGGCATTCGAGGCTCCAGGCGCCCCTACTCCCTCCCAGACCCCCCGTATGTGATAGAGCTGAGGGTGGGCCCAGGGCTGTCCGGTCCTGATGCCCCTCCTCCACCCCGTGCAGACAGCAGTGACGAGTCGGACAGCTCGGAGGAGAGCGACATCGACAGCGAGGCCTCCTCGGCCCTCTTCATGGCGGTAAGGCCCAGCCTGGGGTGGGCGGCGGATGGAGTGTCTCTTTCCAGACTCACATCCCCAGCCCTGATCTCTGCAGAAAAAGAAGACGCCCCCCAAGAGGGAGCGGAAACCGTCAGGAGGCAGCTCGCGGGGCAACAGCCGGCCTGGCACGCCCAGCACAGAGAGCGCCAACACCTCCTCGACGCTGCGGGCCGCCGCCACCAAGCTGGAGCAGGGTGAGCGGCCTTCCTGTCCCACTCGCCCCACCATGACCTCTTGACCTCTGTCCTTGGTCTCCCCGTTCAGCATTGGGAGTGAGGCCAGATCGGAGGGCAGAGGCCCATCTGCCCCGAGCCCCTTCTCCCCATAATCCTGCACCGCTGGCCTGGGGCCCCCCAGGGGTCCAGCTCCCAGCCCCAAGACTCAGCCCCGTTCCCACAGGGAAGCGGACCAGTGAGACGCCGACGGCCAAGCGGTTGAGGCTGGACGCCGGGCCACAGAGCCTGTCCGGGAAGTCGACCCCCCAGCCCCAGTCCGGGAAGTCGACCCCTAGCAGCGGGTAAGTTGGCAAGGGTGGCAGGGGCCAGGCCAGGGTGCAGGGGAGCCCCTCGCTGATGCCCGCCTCCCCACCCTCCACTCGGCTCCTCAGGGACGTGCAGGTGACCGAGGACGCCGTGCGCCGCTACCTGACGCGGAAGCCCATGACCACCAAGGACCTGCTGAAGAAGTTCCAGACCAAGAAGACGGGCCTGAGCAGCGAGCAGACGGTCAACGTGCTGGCGCAGATCCTGAAGCGCCTCAACCCCGAGCGCAAGATGATCAGCGACAAGATGCACTTCTCCCTCAAGGAGTGAGCAGCAGGCCCACCCTCCCGCCCAATAAACAGGCTCTAGTCTCTAGAACGTTCCGGCTCCTAAATTCCGCACGCTCGCCGCCTCGCGTCCCGCTGCACATCTGTCACCCTCCTCCTTGAATCCCGGGCCCGCCAGTGTTACCCATTCTGGAAAAACCTGAGCAGTGTTCTCCTCAATTTACTCCTCTCACCCTCTCTAGTTCCTCCTTCTGGAACCTTCAGACGCCTCTCAGAACTCTTCCTCGCTTTATTGCTCAACCTCTGTCTCATTGGCTGAGCCTCTGCCGCACGCTGGGTGATTTCCTCGGCTCTGTCTTCCATTTCGCTAGCACTCCCTCCAGCTGTGGCCTGTCCACCGCTAACCCATGAAATGCAGGCACAGCTCAGAGATATAGCGGGTTCGGTTCCAGACTATCACAATAAAGCAGATAGTGCAATAACGTGAGTCACACGAAATCTTTGGTTTCCCAGTGCATATAAAAATTACGTTTAGGGGGCCAGCCCCGAGGCCGAGTGGTTAGGTTTGCACGCTCTGCTTCGGCGGCCCAGGGTTTTGCTGGTTTGGATCCTGGACGTGGACATGGCACCACTCAACAGGCCACACTGAGGCGGCGTCCCACATGCCACAACTAGAAGGACCCACAACTAAAATATACAACTATGTGCTGGGGGGATTTGGGGAGAAAAAGCAATTGAAAAAAGAAATATTGGCAACAGTTGTTAGCTCAGGTGCCAATCTTTAAAAAAACAAAAAGAACTATGTTTATACTGTAGTCTTTTCCGTGTGCAATAACATTCTGTCTTAAAAACAACATAGCTACCTTACTTAAGAAATACTTTATTGCTAAAAAACGCTAACCGTCATCTGAGCCTTCAGCGAGTCGTAATCCTTTTGCTGGAGGCAGGTCTTGTAAAAAACGCAGTATGTGCAGAGCGCACTAAGGCCACGTCTGCCTGTCCCTAGTTTTGGTGACTATTTTCCAGTTCTCAAAATCATCTTCGTTGTTTTTAGATGGGCCCGTCTGTTTTGACAGTGTCCTGCCCCTTCTGCTTCTGACCCCTTCTTTCACATTTTGACCTTACGCATCCTTGTCTTAGAGTCTCTGCCAGACACAGGTCGTATCTCAAGCCACGGGCATCCTTTCGTATCGTCTGACTCCCTTTCATGGCTGATTCTGTGTAATTTCGGACGTGACTCCTGGCCAGCCCGGGGCCTCTATCTGCCGGCCTCCTGGGTGGTCTGTTCTGCAGGCAGGTCCTTCCCCATGGCTGTGGCTTTGCCCCAGGAGCCTGGCCTCGGCCAGTTTGGGGTGCGGGCCTCAGCTCCAGGGCCCTGTCTCTACGTGGCCACAAAACCCACACCCCTTGGTTGCTGACGTTGGCACCTGGGCCCGCCCTGCTTTTCAACCTTCCAGGGGCTGAGCTTTCTGGGGCTTCCCTTATTTTCTTACAAGCTGGTGACGCATTTCTTTTATCCAGCATTGGCAGGTGTGCCGTAGTGGGGGGGCTGTTGGGGTTTGTGGGCAGTAAGATTTCCGGAAGCGGAATTTGGCAGCACTCGCTACTTTTGGACCCGTCTTCCGAGCGATCGGCTGGGGGCCGGATGTCGGGTCTCCGTCTTGCCGGTGGCTGGAAAGTGCAGGTGGAAACTTCCCCACCCCGTTCCACAGACCCTTGGCTGCCGAGTGGGAATGCCTGGGATGTCAGGTTAATTCCTAGGAATGTCCCAGGTCGGTCCAAGCTCCCTCCCCACCCTTCCGCCAGGCCTTTTGGGGGACAGCAGGCACGAAGCCCTCGCGCCTCGCCCTGGCAGTTCCCCCCATGCCCTCCCTGCCACGCGGACCACGGTCCAAGCCCCCCCCTGCCAGGCCAGGCCATGCGCCCTGGCGGTCAGGAGCAGGGGCCTTGCATTGAGCAGGACCTGGGTTCAAATCCCGGTTTTTCTTAATTGTGGGTGACTCTGAACGTGTGATGTCTTTTTGTCTGAAAGTCACCTTCATATTCGTAAGCACTGCAATGAGAACCACCACACCAGAACTGGCAAAGGGATCCGCTGGGGATGGAGTTCCCGTCATTCCCAGGCTTTGGCTGAAACGAAACCTGCGACGGGCGCGTCCCCGAAGGTTTCCTGGGTCAGAGGGATGCGGCTGACAGTTTCAGCGGCCAGTGCTCAACTGTGACCAGTATACGCCCCTGCCCGCAGCGCGGGACGGGCCTGAGTCCCAGACGCCCCCCAGCCGTGGGGAAGCGGACTTCCCACTTCCCACAAGAGTTTTGCCACCCGGGTGCAGAGCCCCATCCGAGTTGGAACCCACTCTCCTCTGCGTGAGATTGAGCATCTTCAAACGCACATAAGCCGTTTGTATTTCCTTTGCCTCAAAACCTCTCGCAAGCTCCTCAGTGCCCGGCACCCCGTTAAACACTAAATGCACCGTCTGTCTGTCCTCAGAACCCCATGGGGGGCACTCTGATTAGCCCCCTTCATGGGTGACGAAGGGAGACTCACTTCCCTGGGTCACGGGCCGGGCATGGAAGTCACCGGAATGTGCCGCTGGCCCGGAGCCCCAGTTGGGTGCAACCTCCCCTCCCACCCCAGGATGCGGCTGGATCCCAGGGGCCTCAGGTCGGCCTTCTAGAGACCGGAGGCCCTGCAGAGTGAGCTTCCCGTCCCTCGTGTCCCAGCTTTGGCTGTCCCCGGGGCCTCTCCCTCTTCCTGTTTTGACACTGGCCCAGCCCAGCCCGGAGACACAGGCATGAAGCCTTAATCCTCCTGGAGGGGCCGTGATGGAGGATTCTGTCAGTTCGCCCACTGCCAGCCCGCCTCTTCCCCGCACACAGGTCCGCTCCACCTGGCACACAACGCGGGGGCTCCTGAGCCCCAGCGCCCAGCCTGAGCGGGGAGGGCCCCACGGAGCCCCCCATGCCTCCTTCTAGACAGCAGGTGGGGTGGGGACCCTGCTGCCCGCCCTGGGCTTGGCCCTGGCTGCCGGCACAACACTCATAAATCAGGGGGCGGAGGGGGTGTCGGAAACGGGCCTGTGGAATGTCTGCATGGGGTGGGGGGGTGGGCCCTTAACTCTTAGAAGGACGAGGTGTGGGGCAGAGGGAGCCGGCCTGCCTGGGCCCGAAGATGTAAGAGATGAGCTGATGGGGGACACGGGGCTCTGGTCCCCAAGCAGCGGCCGGCAGCGAAGAGGTTACTCCCCCAGCCCAGGCAGGGGGATAAATGGAGGGCTTGGGGCATCCCCACCCTTAGGACCTGCCTGTCACCATGGCCACAGGAAGACTCCTGCTCTGCTCTCTGCTGCTCCTGTCGCTGCAGCTGGGCCTCGGTGGGGACCCTGGTGCTCGGGGAGCTCTGGTGGCGGAGGGACAGCTCCTGTCTGAGCTGGCAGCACACAGAGGGACCCAGAAGCCACAGCTGGGTAAGGACCCCCAGGACCCTGCGTGACTCCCCAACTCCTTCCCGCCCAGACCCTGTCCGCTGTCAGCCATCCCTTGTCTCCCGCAGGTGCCCGCCTGCGCCGAGCCGCGGCCAGCCAGTGCCAGCTGTGGAGCCTGTCCCTGCCCGTGGCAGAGCTGGGCCTGGGCTACACGTCGGAGGAGACGGTCATCTTCCGCTACTGTGCCGGCAGCTGTCCCCGCGGCGCCCGCACCCAGCACGGCCTGACGCTGGCCCGGCTGAGGGGCCAGGGCCGAGCCCACGGCGGGCCCTGCTGCCAGCCCACCCGCTACGCTGATGTCGCCTTCCTCGATGACCGCCACCGCTGGCAGCGGCTGCCCCAGCTCTCGGCGGCTGCCTGCGGCTGTGGTGGCTGAGGATGCCTGGCTAGAGGTCCTGCAGCCACACGACAAGCGCTGCTGACTTATTTCTTGGAGATACGGATGCCGAGAAGACGAGAAGGGGGGGTGGGCTGGGGCCACAGCAAGGGGCACAATAAAGTAAATTGCTCCTGTGGCCTCGTAACTGTGTGTTCAGCCGGGATGTGCCGTGACCCTGCCAGCTTAGCTCCCGGGTGTGGGCAGGTGGGGTCCTGGGCTGCCCCCAGGGATCCCAGCAAACGGCCAGTGCGAGGAAGGCCAGCGTGTCCATTGTCCAACTTTATTCACAAACTCGGGGCCTCTGAGAAGCTGGGGAAGGGGCTGGGGGTCAGCAGGCTGGGGGTGGCTGCCCCGGCCCCCCTGGACCCATCCCCTCGGGGAGGGAGCGGCAGATCACAGAGATGCGTCGGCCCCGGGGAACCCGACGCTCCCCGAAAAAGGACTCTTCGTCCCGAAGGATCTCGTGGGAGAAGTCATAACGGGCCGAGCCCCTGCAAGAGAACACAGAGGCTGTGGCTGTGGGGGCGGTGAGGGCAGCCCTGGGTCCAGGCCGCCTGACTGCCGAGGGGGGAATGGTAGTGTTGGCTGTGAGCACTGAGTGGGAGAAGGGGCTCAAAGCGCTGGGAGGGGCGTCTGACCCGTTACTGGTGGGTGGGGGCTCCCTGGCTGGGTGGTACCTAAGGATGTACAGGGAACCTGGCTCCAGCAAGAGTTCCAGCCACTCCCCCGGCTCCTGGGTGTGCACCAGCCGCATGACACTGGGAGACAGCAGGGACAGGCCGGCGATGGTGGCTCCGCAGAACTGGAAGAGGGGGCATGGTGGTGGCTCAGGCTCTGGTCTGGCTGGACCCCCCGTCCCCCAAGCTGGGAGCTCCAAGGGGCCGGGTTCTGCCCACCTTGACGCTGTCCACGTGCGGCTTGATGTAGCCCCGAGGCTCCAGGTCCAGCACATGCACCGGGGACAGCAGGGTCTGGCCAGGGCCGAAGGCAGCTGCCTGCATGCGCTGCAGGATGGCCCGGCTTGCCTCTGACCAGCGCGACTTTTCTGTCTCTCGGAAGCCGTGGATGGCCTACACGGAGAGCTCAGGTCAAGCCTGGACGCTCCCAGGAGGAACAGGGAAACTGAGGCACGGGGCGGTGGGGGGCTGCAGAGTGCAGAGCAAAGGGCTGATTTTCCCAGCTGACCCTTGACCCTACCCTTATTACCCCAATAGGCTTGATTCTATCTCCCCGAAGGGTCTCAAATCTAGCTCTGGCCTCAGTCCTTTGTACTCACCCTCAGACTCCAATTTCAGTCCCAGATCCTTTCCCCGCCCCAATATTCAATTCTGTCTCCGCCCACTTTATCCCACCCAACTCCCCTGTCTCCGCCCCCAACAGGTGACCCTCCCTCATCTCGCTCCACACCTGTTGTGCCTCTAGCCTAGGTCCTGCCCCCCAAACATCCCTCAGTTCCAGGTCCTGCCTCCAGTGAAGGCCCCGCCTTCATCTCCAAAGCGCTTTCCCTGCCCATCAAGGGCCCCACGCTTCAAGACTCCGCCCCACTCCTCAGGCTCCGCCCCAGAAGTAGCCCCGCCCACCAGAGCTCTTTTCGTCCCCGCCCCTAATACCACAGGCCCCGCCCAAACGTAGCCCCGCCCCACTCCAGAGCGCCACTCCCCTGTCCCCGCCCCTAACGTCCCAGGCCCCGCCCCCGCCGTGGCCCCGCCCCCCCGCGGACCCGCCCCCTGCGCCGCCGGCCTCACCGCGTCCCAGTGATCGTATTCGTAGCGGCGGCGGCGCAGCTCGGGCTCCAGCTCGCGGCTGAGCGTCTCCTCCTCGGCCGCGCTCAGAAAGCCGGGCCGCACCACGGCCGCGTCCCGCAGGCGGCTCAGCACGGCCGGGCCCGAGCCCCGCACCCAGCCCGGCCCGGGCAGCGTCCGCAGCGCCAGCCGCCCGCTCCCGGCCATAGCCCCGGAGCGGGGTCGTGGAAGCTGCCAGGGTCAGGGCAACGCCCCCGCCTCAGAGCCATTGGCTGCGGCTGCGCCGAGCCCCTGCAGCGATTGGCTCGCCTCAGAGTCCCGCCTCTCGCTCAAGGTTACTGGCTGCTCCTCTTTCCGCCCTCTTAAGCGATTGGCTCTCCACAAAGCCCGCCTCCCCTCTAGCGCTATTGGGCGCCACTGCGCAGTAGCTTAGACTATTGGTTGTGCTGCAAGCCCGTCCTTTAGGGGGCGGGGGCGGGGGCACGGGGCGCAGACAATTCTGGCATGGGGTCAGAGATCAGAGGTCACAGAAGGATTTGGGCTCAGGCCGGCATTATGGAGTGGGCCAGGGCTAGAGGTTAAGGGTAGAGTATGCTCGGGCTGAGATGAAGGGGTCAAGGGTAGAGGGGTCAGGGGAGTGAAGTCAAGGCCAGGATTATGGGGTGGGGCCAAGTTTGTGGAGTTAGGGGTTGCGGTCAAAGGTCAAAGCGAGGCATCAGCCAGTTCATTTTTTACTGGATCGTTCCCACCGCGTCCGAACAGGCTGGCTCCCACCTTATAAACAAGATATAAACAAAAAACCCTCCTCCTAAAACTGTCCAGAATGAAAACTTCAACCAAATGTAACCGATGAATACAGCCAAATCGAAAGTCCTCTGAATTTAAAAAAACAAAACATTGACCCAATTCTCCCTCCAGCCACAGCCCCAGGTTCTCTGCTCTCCTCTTTACAGCAAAATTCCGGGAAGGACTTGTCCAGCTCCGATTGTCCCTCCCCTTCCTTCTGGGTCCACTCCACTCTGGCTTTTGTCCCCCACAGCCCTGAAAATGACCTTATTGAAGGCCACCTCTGACTTGCACGGTGCCAGGCCCGACAGCCAGTCCTCAGCCTGCCCGCTAAGTCATCGACATCCTGATGTCGCCTCCATTTCCATTCCCAGCGCGGACCCCAGACTTACCCATCCCCCCGGATGTCCGAGGCATGTCAAACATCAACTCCTGATCCAGCCTTCCCGTCTCAATAACTCTCCATCTTTCAATCAGCTTTGGGTCAAAATCTGGGAGTTTGGGGAGATGAGGTTCTATCTCCTATCTCACATCCCACCCGTCAGCTCTGCCTTTAAAACCCGGCTAGGATCTGACCTCTTCTCACCACCCAGCCAGGCCGTCAGCCTCCGTCTGGATTATTCCAAGCCTCCAAACTGGTCTCCAGGTTTATGTGCTTGCTGCATTCCTCCCGCTTCTCCGTGGGAGCCAGTCATCCTTTTCGTTCCTCTTCTCAAAACCCTCCGTGGCTCATCTCCCTCCTTGCTAAGAACTGCCAGGCCTTTTACGATCTGCCCTCCTGTTCCTTCCCCACTCTCCCCTTCACTCACTCCACTCCAGCCACCCCAGGCTCCTCGTGGTTCCATCCACGTGCCAGGCACAGTCCTACCCCAGGGCCTTTGCACATGCTCTGCCTGGGCTGCTCTGTCCCAAGACAGCAACCTGGCTCCCTCCCTCAGTCTTTGCTCAAGTGTCACCTTCTCAGCAAGCCCTTTGCAGGCCACCTCATCTAAAACTGTCACACACACATGCACCCTGCACACCTTTTTCCCTGATTTTTTCTTTTTAAACTGTCTAACCCCTCAAGAATAATTTCCTTGACGACAGGAATTTTTGTGTTTTCTTCACATTAGGTAGCAGCCTCTAGAACAGTATCCGGAATGTTGTCTTTGCTCAGCAGAGCGTGCTGAAGCGAGGGAGCTGAACGTTCAAGAACAGAAGGGAGCTCGTGGAAGGGCACACACGTGTGCAACGTGGTGCAGCAGGGAGCCAAGGTGCCACAGACGGGGAGCAAAGACTACAAAGATTTAATTTAAAATCACAGTGTCTCAGCCAGGATCCCCGCCCTCAGGGGCACCCCCAGATCCGGAGGTCCTCAAGGGGCCCCTGCAGGCTCAGCAGCGAGCGGTGGGTAGGGCTGCGGCCCGGCAGCCCCTCCACTGGCATCCGGAGGGGGAGGTCCGGCTCTCAGGCGCTCGCTGGGGCGGGTTCCGCCGCGGCCGCCCCCACGGGCTCCTTCTGCACCAGCTCAGGCTCGTCCTCCCCATCCTGCGGCGGGTGCACCAGCACCTTGTCCAGGATGCCGAACTCCTGGGCCTCCATGGGGCTCATGTAGCGGTCTCTCTCCATGGCCGACTCTGCGGGGTGGGGGGCGAGCGGCGGGACACATGCGGTTCAGAGGGAAGCCCTGAGCCCAGGTTTGAGTCCCCGTTCAGCCACTTCCTCCCCGTGTGACCTTGGCCTTCCCCGCTCTGTGCCTCAGTTTCCCCTATTTCAAAATGTTTTACTTCTTACTGTTGTATAATACAGGAAGGGGCACAGATCCTAAGTGGACACTGCAATGAATTTCAGACCGAACACAGCCACGTGGCCAGCACCCAGATCAACAAGTGCCACATGGCCAGACGTTCCCCCAGAAACCCCGCTGGGGCCCACTTTGAGTCGCTAACTCTACCTGCCTGTGATGGAGAAGTGTTCTCATTGCTCCACATCCCTGAAGGCATTTGGCGGCATCAGTATTTTCTATTTTAGCTGTTCTGGCGCACTGAAATAGTATCTCACTGTGCCCTTCATTTGCCTTTCCCTAATAATGAATGTGTGGCGCTTTTTTTTTTTTTTTTGCTGAGGAAGATTGGCCCTGAGCTACCATCTGTGCCCATCTTCCTCTATTTTGTATGTGGGTTGCCGCCACAGCATGGCTGCTGAGTGGTGTATGTCCAGGAACCAAACCCAGGCTGCCGAAGGGGAGGATGCCAAACTTAACCAGCAGGCCACGGGGCCAGCCCCTAAGAACGAATGTTTTTATCAAACATCCTCACTGAAGATGGTGAGCACCTTACGTTTCTTGGCCGTTTGGAATATTCTTTATTGAAGACCCTGTTCAAAACTTTTGACCTATTTCAATGAGGTTTCAGTGAGGATTCTGTGAATCTCATTTTAAAGGGCTTAGAACAGGGCTTCTCAAGTAGGGCTGGTTCTGACACCCCGGGGACCCTGGGCGACATCTGGGACAGTTTTGGTTGTCACAGTTGGAGGGTGCTGCTGGCCTCCGGTGGGGGGGCCAGGGACGCTGCCACACCTCGCACAGTGGCCAGGATGCCCCTGTCACAGAAAATGATCCAGCCTCGAGGGTCAACAGTG